TTCTTTTCTCCCCTTGGTGTAATTCTAAATACAGAGGAGTAGATTGGGAGGTTAGCCAAAGCTGATCTTATCGGGGTAATCCTCCCTCCTAAAGAAATATAGTTTCTCTTCCAAGCAACCAATCTCCTTTCACACCTTTCTACAACTAGGTTCTAGAATCTACTCTCCTTAGGGTTGGCACCTAAAGGAAGACCCAAGTAGGTCAAAGGCCATGCGGTGATAGGACACTCTAAGCAACCCACTACCACACTTAAGGTATTCTCCTCCATATTAATCCCTGCTATGCAACTCTTGTCTAAATTGGTTTTTCTCTTTTGTAGATTGTCCAAGGTGTTTACTTTCCCATAGTACACTTCCCAATAGAATGCCAAAACCTTAGGGGGAATAGGCCTATACCAAGCCTCCTTAAAGAGAAAACCCTATTGAAAAGAAGAATAGCAAAGGGATTTAAAAAGGAAGCACATGAGAAAATACCGGAGGGACGAGAAGTCCAAATCCTTTTGTCTGGTACAAGGGGGTCCAAACAAACTTTATCAAGAAGACTCCATAATTGGGTTAGACTTTCAATCTCCTCATTCCTTAATCCTCATGGAACCCAAAATCCCAAATTGATGCCATGGGAGTTTCCAAAGGGGAAAGGAATTTTGACACAGGCTCTTTTTTATATCAAGAGACAGTGAACAAGCACAGAAAGAGGTCCTTTAAGGGAGCCTCTCCAACCTAAGTATCCTCTAAAAAAGGGACCGAATTACCATCACACACAGCATACCTAAACGTTACGATATCGAGGGAGAATGCTATGGATTGCCTTCCAAGGTATTGGCAATGTTGCCCATTGAGATACTCCAGCATCCCATCCGTTCTATGAGTGACCATGAATACTTCCTACCACCTCTGAGTGACATGAATATTTCCTATTGTCTCCTTCAAAGTCTCCAAGTGATTTATCTCCTACCAAAGAGTTTTTAAGGTAGAGAATTATATTGCAAGAGGTCTATCTCATTGCCTTGTATTAATTATCTAATTTCTTAACTAATAAGCTTTGGCCACATTTTGGTTTTGATCAATTTCTATTCAACACCACTGCCCCTCATACTATCTCAAACAACTCAATACTAAAAGGCAAAGAAATACCTCCTCGATCAGATCGATCCCACTTAAACAGTCAAAAAACTCTTTTGGAAACAAAAACCATAGTTGTCAAGGCGAAGCCTAGGCAAGCGCCTAGGCAACAAGGTGCCCTTGGGCCTTTGAGGCTCGCCTCGCCCAGTCGCCAAGCAATTTTGCATACTGTGTAATAAAATACTTTTATATTGTTATTTTTTTGAGATTATAATTATAAAATAGACATTATTAAAGAAAAATATTCATTTTTTGTGGTGGCAAAAAAAATGAGGTGGTGGCAAGCATTCATGGCTGCTCAGGAAATTGTTGGGATTCTAGGATATCTCGTTGAGCTACCCTTACTACACCTTGGAAGGCTATACATGGTATTCTCCCTCGTTCCTTAGTTTCATCAGGTATGATGCTTGTTCTGGTAATGCTATTTTGTTCTAGGAGGATATTTGGGTGGGTACTCAACCCCTCAAAGATCGTTTCCCCTCGCTCTATTCCCTTTCCCTTCACAAAAATGAGCCAATTGCAATTTTTTTCTCAAACCCGTTAACTCCCTTGTCTTTAAATTGGGACTTCGACTTTCGTAGAGGGTTAAGGGATGGTGAGTCGAGTTGTGTTGTTGAGCCAACTCAATTATTAGAATTCGTTTATTTGGACCCCACTTCTTCTAATTAAAGAGTTTGGCCTCCTCTTCCAAAAGGTACATTTACTTGTTCTTCCTTTCTAAAATCCCTCAGTTCTAACCCCAATTCCCAAGGGTTCCCTTTCAAAGAAGTCTGGGCGTGACCTATTCCCCCAAAAATTGTTGTATTCTGCTGGGAAGTCTACTATGGGAAAATCAATATTTTGGAAAACTTACAGAAAAAGATACCCTCTCTTTGTCTCTCCCCAAATTGGTGTTCCTTGTGTAAGGCCCAGAATGAGGATTGTTTCCATTTGCTGATCTCTTGTTCCTTTGCTACAGCTTTATGGAGTTGGAGCCTTTGTTTATTTGGAGGTAGGTGGTCTTTGCCTTCTGATTTAAGCTCGTTATGTAACCCGTCTTTTTTTGTTTGGCACTCTAGAAGAGGCAAGGTCATGTGGAAATGTGTCAGGGCAGCCATCTTATGGACTCTTTGGGAGGAAAGGAATGCAAGAGTCTTCTTAGAGAAGGAAAGAAGATTAGATGAAGTGAAGGACTGCATCCTAACAAGAGCAATCCATTGGCTGAAAACCTTGGATATATTTGATGATTTCTCCTTTGATGACTTGTAGAGGAATTGGTTAGTAATAGCTAACACTTCAACAACGAAGAATAGAAGTTTGTCAGAATGGGTTCCGCCTTTAGAAGGTGTCATCAAGTTGAATTTTGATGGAAGCAGCCAAGGTAACCCTGGGCCTTCAGGTATAGGGGGTGTTCTGAGGAAAAGGACAGCAATATAATTTCCTTATTCTCAGGACCGGTGAGAGTGGGGGACTCCACAAGGGCAGAAATCCTTGCTGCAGTACAAGGAATTCAGATCGCTAACCAGCTTGGGTTGGAGCATCTCCTAGTTGAAGGGGACTCTCAGGTGGTAACAAGGTGGCTTCTAAACCCGGATACTACCATTTGGGGCTACAAAGATCTCATCAAAAAAATAAAGTGGTTAACTAGCAATATGAGATTTAAGGTAAAATGGGTTACAATAAACATCAAGCCTAGATCAGAAAAGTTATAATGTTTTTTATGAAAAACAGAAATGTATTTTATTGAATTGTCATTTAAGAGAGATTACATCCTTATCGGATATCCCAATTGAGGATAGCTAGCCTCGGCTGACCACCTTACAAGATACAAAAACAGCCCCTTTAACTCACTTGCCCCCAACAGATTAATTATAATGTTTCCACTAAGATATAAAAACAGCCCCTAGCCAAACATCTCACTCTACCATCTACCAAGTTCCAAGACTATTATCTTTGGGCAGCCAATAACTAATCTAGAGCCGCCCCCCCCATCTGGCTACTATGTCTCTGTAGTTGAGTTGACTTCCTAATCTTTTCTTTTATTTTTTTTACTTTTAACTGCATAGCTTTATTAATATGTGAAAAAGTTATGAACATAATTACAAAGAGCAAGTATAGGTAACCTTCCAATACAACTAATTTCTGGTCCTATCTAATATATCTGCCATATAATTTTCCAATCTCTGGATCCAAGGATGTATTCAGTTCCCTATCTAGACTTCTCATTTCCCTCAGGATTTGTCTTAATTGCCATGTTCCAAACTTTTATTTGTAAACCAACTGACTACTACACTTGAATCCCCTTCAACTATCTTTCTATAGTTTAGGGATTTCCCCAACCTAAGCCCTTGAAGCACTGCATGCAGCTCAACTCTAGTTGAATCTCCACAGCCAATAGGTCAATAGATCCCCATAAATAACCATCTTAATCCTTGGAGAATTGCTAGTACTTTCAATCTTGTTAAGTCCCCTTGGGCAATAGGTCCTAAAAAATGATCATAATCTAATCATGATTATTCCTGAAAACTCCAAGACTTCTCTTTAAAGATTTTAGCATTCCTTTCTTCCCAAATGCTCAAAGAACTTCAACCCTAGTACATCCCTATAGAATTTTGCCTCTCTTCAGTGGAGAAAAGTTCTAAAAAGGCTGCCAACCTCTCCCGGGGGGGGTCAACCTACAGCTAAACAAAGAGAAGAAAAACCTCCATATGCTGTATACAAAAGGGAAGGAGATAGTAAGTTATCTTATTTGCTTGGATTTTTTTTTGAAGAATAAAGATAAAATTTTATATTATTTGCTTGGATCACTATACTGTAAGTTTATTTCTTTGCTTATTTGTTTGGGTTCTTGCCATGAAATTTCATGATTTTAAATGTCTTACTGCTTTGCTGAATGAAATTGATTACATTGTCATTGTGTATGGAATATTGAAATTTATTATTGAAAATGATATGGATTTATAAAATTAATGATGTATGTTTCTCGATATGCAAAATTTATTTTAGTATTTAATAATAATAATAATTATTATTATTATTATAATTATTTAATAATTATAATAATAATCTAAGCCATGTCCCAACTATATGGGATTGGCTACATGAATCCTATTTCGCCATTCCATCCTGTTCAGTGCCTTTTATAATAAAATAATAAAAATTGAAAATAAGGCACACGTCAACAAGGACCATTTCCAACAGATCATGTAGAACTCTACTAATGAATTTATGAAACTCTTGGAAACATCACCCAACAAAAATGGTGGGGCATATAAATTAACACGACAAAATTGAGCATGCCTTTCTATGGGTCCACCTTGTTTATAGGTGAAGAAATCCGAGAATACATAAACTTGTTTACTAGCATTCCTCATATATTATAGGTATTATTTTTCTCGATTTGTTATATTATAGGTATTACTTGTCAAAATCTATTGCCTATATGGCACCCAAGTGCCTACATAAATGCTAAGGAAACAAGGTAGTAACAATATCAAATCTTACCTTGCCACCTTGATAACCATGTGATGTGGGACCAACTGATCTAATACTAATAGATGTGGGACTAGACTGAACCAATAATAAGTGGAGGGAAATGATCAAACAATGGAATAAGAAGTGTTTAGAATAATAGATTATACAGGACGATTTCAATTGAAAGTACTTTGAGCATGTTTGCCAGAAAGGAACAGATCCTTTATTAGAAAAACTAATAAAATTTTGGAAACAAGGATTTTAGTAAACAAATTACACAGCATATACCAATGACCAGTAACCTACATCTTCAAAGAGAAGATATTTTATGATGCACAATGAGAATAAATGTTTTGTTAGTATTTTGTTGTGAGAACAAACCATATGTAATTATAAATACCAAGCACCCCAAAAGTTCTACTTACCAATAAAAACATTTGGGACAGTATATTGTCCAGTGAGCCTTTCCAGCATCTTCTGCAACTGTGGTCCTTGGGGACCTGAAAGAGAACAGAGGTCCTTGATCATATGCATGATCCAAATTATTTTAGTAGAATTACTTTGTACAAAATTAAATCATTGCTCATTCATTATTGGACAGTAACCCTAACCAAAATGAAGAGATTAAATTTGTTTCAAGCACATCAGACCCATAAGAAATGAACCCCCTTTTACAAGTAGAAAATTATATTAATTATACTTGTCGACAGATGTATTGTATTTGGTTGAATTTCGGTTTTCTTTCAGGGAGAGTGTTGGAGGTTACAGGGATATATTTGCAATATTGATAAATTTTGGGGACTTGATCTTTTGCTTATTTAAGCAGTGGTTGTGTGGGATTAGGATTGAGTGAGAGTGGATATTTTGTTGTCAGTGAGGGGTTAGTCATGTATCTCTTGTTCTCATAGTGGATGTTTTCCCTCTCTTTTTGTGGATACCAAGCCAAACCACGTTAAATCTTGGTGCTTCCTCTCCTTTCTATTTCCTTCATGGCTTACTATTCTTCCTTCCTGCTGTTTGACACTGTATTAGGTGGCAAGAGCATGTTAAGACAGCCGACTGCTCATTAAAACAGTTGATTGTTGTTGTTAACATTTGACTGTTACAGTTAACAGTCGACTGCTATTAACAGCCAACTACTGTTGGTAATTGTCTTTTGTGAGTTGGAAAAGAGGCTTTAATGCCTCAGGTTGCAGAGATTTGTGAGTTGGAAAAGAGGCTTTGATGCCTCAAGTTGTAGTTGTTTGTGAGTTGGTGGTGTGTTTCTAAGGTCCCTCTTCTTGACAATTCAAAGAAGGACAGCTTTGTGATGTCATGATTGGTATTGTGGTTAATACTCAATGTGTAGTGATTATTGATGGTTTGTGGTGTGATGATAACTTTGTTGGTGAGCGTGTGAAATTCCCTTGGTATTCGAAAACAGTGTAGTGATGTGGTAGTTTGTGGTGTATTGGTGGATTGTTGGCAAATGTGTGAAGCTCCCTTGGTGTTTGAGAGAAGTGTAGTGACATGATAATTTGTGGTGTATTGGTGAAATGTTGCTTCAGGTTGGTGATTATTAGATCATCACTTGGCTCTACTATAGGTTTCCAATACAAGTTCATTCAGCTTTCTAGCGTTGAACTTTGGTCTCTAAGAAGCCCCTTCAACATCTCAAGGTTCATGGTTGTTGCTTCAATAGTACACTTATTTTCATGGAGATTGCTTCAACATCCTTACTTGCAAACGCAAGCTGGTTTTCCCACCTTGAGTGTGAGGGGGTGTGTTGAGAGATAAATTGTAGTTGGTTATATTTGGGTTTTCTTTCAGGGAGAATGTTGGAGGTTACAGGGATATATTTGTAATATTGATAAATTATGGGGGCACATATGTATTTATGGCAGAAAGAGGGGCTTATGTGTAATTCTGATATAATTTGGTCTTGTGCTTATTTAAGCCAGTGGTTATGTGGGATTAGGGTTGAGTGAGTGTGGATATTTTGTTGTCAGTGAGAGGTCAGTCATGTATCTATTGTTCTCATAGTGGATGTTTTCCCTCTCTTCCTCTCCTTTTTTTCTATTTTCTTCTTGGTTTATTATTCTTCTTTCCTGTTGTTTGACAACATTAATCAATGAATATATACACCAAACTCATAAGGAAACTCCATTTTATAAATTAAAAAAAAAAAAACAGGTGCATTAGAGAGGTTTTTTCACCTCTCAGAAACATACCATCTTCTTATCTAGACAAATTCCCTCACAACCATGGTTTGTAATGTAAGCAAGATTTGGCAAAATTTCCTTGAAACCTACCTATTTCACTAGGGTCAGTATGAAATGTTACAAGAATCTTTTTCCTCTTATATCTCTGACATATTGCAAATAAATTAGCAGTATTTCAAATTTCATTGATAAATTATACATCTATGATTTAAAGTTCTGGAAAATCATCTAAACTTTCTGATATTCCATTAAAATCATTAAAAAAATCATGGAAGAAAAACAGGGATTCTATGATTGAATGATTGGCTTGCTATTCAGAAAATGATTGACTTTCTAAGTCACTATAATTCAAAATGAAGAAAGGAAGAAAAAGAAAGAAAACACAAATACAAAAGAGGATTCTCAATCTAACCAAAACATATGGTTACAGGAATACAAAAGTCAAAATGACAAGTGAATGACAAACATATAGAATAGAAGATGGCTAAAAGACTGAAGGAGAGATGGAAAGACATACCTATCCAAGTTTCTTAATCTTCAATTAGTTGATAATAAATAGTTTTTGCTATGGTTTTATCCTAAATGTTCAAATATACTCCTACTAACAAATTCCATGTGTTTAACTTTTCCTGATTTCTTTGGATTTTCCAAATATCTTAGCGAAATTAGAGAAATATCCTTGAAATTCCCCCATCTCTCTATGGCACAATGTCCACCAATGTCAAAATTGTGAACCATGGTAACATATACCAGGTGATGGTAATCAAACCAAAAAGATAACAAGATGGGAGGTCTGTTGTGGAACCAAGGAAACCATAAAAAAGGACCAACCAAAGGTTAGGGAGACCCCTGTAGGCAAGCAGGCTTCTCCAGGATGCAACAACCCAAATACAAATTCTCTTGGTTCTCAGTAGGAATGCTTTTCATTCTTGAATGGTTATGATTGATTAATCTTGATCAACAGTTCATCTTCTTTTCAAAGCCCCAATACATTCAGTATCAATTGGATGGAACTTTCTTTGGGAGAAAAGGAAAACATATTTTCCTGCTAGGATGTCCAAATGCAGAGGACATGAACACAAAAGATAGTGATACAACCAGGGGCACAGCCAGGGGGTTCTTTTATTTGGGGGGATGGGGATGGCGGTGGGGGCATTATATAAACCTTTAAAAATAGGTGGATGAAACACTCTATTAGGATAGTGACCCTCACCTATCACCATAAAGGGTGTAGACAAAACTTTGGGAGCCATGGCTCTCATTGGCACTGCCCCTGGACACAAGTGTGTTTCTTGAGATCTAGAAGATAGAGGTAGTCCATTTAACATGCTGATACCATGCTTTCATATTTAGCATTTTAGCTTTTTAAGATAAGTGTCATTTCTAAGTACTTGTATAGTTCTATAATTTTGGCGTGCAATCATATTTAAAGCAAGATCAGGCACAATATAAAGTAAGAATCCCCACCCAATTTTCTGAGATAGAGTAGTGATCATCAGATTGAAGTACCATTTCCCACATCACTAAGAGCACAAATTCAAATGTAGCATTTTTTTTAGAGATAAGAATACCAAATCATGTAGTCCTTAATGGACACAATAATACATTTGATGGTTTAAATATCACAGATATTTGTGATACTGTTGGTGCAATTCATGGTCTAAAGTTTGTGCCAATGCCATGCCATTTCAAAATAAAGGACTGGGGTGTTGGACACTTCAATAAGAGCTATTTTTCCCTTCTCTTCCTCTATTCAATCCTTCTCTCTTATATCTTCTACAAAGTAGAAGCACTATGTGTTACTTATTGCTGTTCTATCTTCTATAACCTTAGCCCTAGCCTAGTATCCCTTTATTATTTAATCAGCTTGGATAACAGGCTCACCAGTCTTATTCAGACATACTAACCTCTTCATGATTTGTGTTTCTAAAACAGATAGATTCTTTGGAATCTCAAAAGCTGTGAGATAACTGGATCAAATCGAAGCTAGTCTGAGGCATTTGGAACTCCTTAAGAATATAAACTATGAAATTAAAAAAAAAAAAAAAAATGCTAGATGTTTCTTCACTTTGACTGAATCATTTTGGGAATCCAGAAACATTATCATATAACCTGTAAATGTAAAGAAATACAACTAATAGAAAAGTCGTACAAAGTAGAAGATCCAAACTTGGTTAAAATCTAGAAGAAAGATTTATAAATTTTGAAAATCTTTAGAAAGCGTTAGTCATACCTCCAACCTTCGCAATTTTTTAAGGTTGTTTCTGGAGTTAAATTTCTGAATTTTTAACATCAAAGTTGTTTTAGCTGAATTGAACCCTTGTTTCGACTTTCGAACAATAACAGTCAAAGGTATTCCGATGAGGAAAGAAAGAAGAAGAAGGGGGAAAACAACGGTGATGGTAATTCGCTGATGTGAAAGAAAATACAAAATATTAAAATTATTAGCCCAGAATCTCCCCGAGTTACGGAAGGCAACCGAATTGAAACTACAGTAAAATTACTAAGAAGAATGAAGAAAACAAGTACCCATTTCGTCCAATTCAATAACAAGCGGCTCCACGCCAAGTCGCTTGAATAATGCCTTCACCTCCGAAGAATACCTTCCAAAAACAAACGACGGAATTAAAATCAAAGTTATCCCAAAGAGAAGGAAAGAGGAAATCAAGGATATCAAGTATTCACTAAAATTGCAATAAAATCAATCAAATATTGAATAAACCGGAAAAAACACAGAGAAAAAGTAGAACAGTTAGGTCTGATTCGAACTCACGAGCACCAGGTTTTGGAGTAGACAACAACGGGATTCTCCGACACCGTCTTCTTAATGCTCTCCTCCAACCGCGACCCAAATGAAGCCGCCATGGATCGAACCACGGCAGCCCCGCCGTTCCTTCTGCCATGAATGCTGAAACCTCTGCTTCTGTTGCCTCTGCTAGTAGAACTTCGGAAGGAAAGAGAAGAAAGAGATGGCCTCGCGAGAGAAGGAGAAATACTGCGAGGGGAGCTGAGAGCACAACCGCCGACTCGCGTTAGATGAGAAGTCTCCGCCATTGCTGCCGCTGTCTTTCTCCACAGCTTTTGCGGCTTTTGTTCTGCCTACGTCCACCTTTTCTTATTTTCAGGTATTTTCGTGGGTGTTTTCCAATGAATTTTCGTCTCCACGTTTTCGGGTTTTATGACCAATGAGAGAAAGAGGGACTCGGGCACATTATTTGCATCGGGATCCTCTACAAATAAAGGCGTGTACAACGCGTACGAGAGACGAGGCGCAAGCCTGTAAGCTTGCTTATACATAGATTTTTTTTCTTTAAGAAATAAAATAATTTAGGGAGAAGTACGGAAACACCTGATGCGGAATTCTGAATTCCAACCTCCCTTACTACTAGCCCTCTTCCCCTATAAATCACATCCTTGCTGGTGAATTTAGCATCACGGTGAAGATGTATTCCCCTGTACTATGGAATTATAAAATTCTGATCTAGGCTGATTGGTCATTCTCCCAATGATTTATATGCTTATATATTAATAGAATTTCAAAAWTAATTTATTTGTTTCATAGCAAATTTATATGCTTTCATTTTATACATATATTTTTTAATTTGAATCCTGGGATTTTAAAATGTTATTTTGTATTTATCTTATGTCCTATAACCTTTTATATCCAAATTATTTTATTTAATTTTTTGCACATACACACATATGGGTTTGACTATTATGTCAAAGTGGTAAAATGTTCTTTTGTATTTATCTCATGTTCTATAACATATCCAAATTATCTTTTAAATTAATTTTTTGCACATACACACATATGGGTTTGACTATGATGTCAAAGTAGAAAAATGTTATTTTGTATTTATCTTATGTTCTATGACTTTCCATATCCGAATTATCTTTTTATTTAAATTTTTTCACATACACATATGGGTTTGACTCTATAGTGGCCTTTGATTGGTCAAAGCCTTTGTTTTTGTATCATATCCTTCCTTTGATTAAAGTTCTAATCATATATAATAAAACAATATATGTCAACATGGTTTTACTTCCTCCCCTATTATTTATCTATTTTTTGGTTTTTTAATTTTTATTTTTGAAATTAAAAATTACTCAATTAACTAATCGATTTTAAGTCTTTAAGACTTCCATCCCTCGTTAACTCACCATTAGACTTATTCATGGGTTGGCTCAGGTTTGGGCTGAAAACTGTATCAACAGAATATATTCAAGCCCGAGCCTAACCTGATCATCGGACCTATGTCTTGAGCTCGAGCCTGATCTTCATATAAAGCCCAAAGCCTGAGCTTGACTAGAAATTTAAAAACATATTTTTTTCTTTTTTTGTTCAATAAAAAAAGTGTTTTATTTATATTAAAAGCCCTCAAAACCCAAGAATAATAAAAAATCTCACTATTAATTGAAAAAAGATAAGAGGAACAAAGAAAAAATATTGTATATATATTTTTATTAAATAAAATATATTTTTATTATATAATATATATTATCAAGTCGGGCTTAGGCTCAAGCCAAGCATTTTTAAGAAAGCCTGAGCTTGGCCCGAAAAAAGGTCAAACCTGGTGTTTTAGGCTCGAGCCCAAGCCTGCAGACCTAAAGTCATGTCCAAACCTGACGTAGAATGGGTCAGGTCAGGCCGGCCCCGTCAGGCTACCTAGCCCATGAATAGGTCCATTCACTATTATTTCTCTCTTCTCTTTTTCATTAACTCATTTGATTATCTCTCCTCATCAATTATTCCACTCGCTCTCCCTCCTAATAACTCACTCCACTATTTCTTTCTCCTCTCAATACTCCAATAAATTGCTTAAAATTTATTTACTCTTTTTGTTTTTTTTTTATTTTTTCTTTTTCATTTTTTATCTCTCCTCTCCTTATTAATCTAATAAACTAAAAGCAATTTTCATAGGGGTGATCATTTCAATCCAGATTTGGCCTGGGTCTACATCAGGCCCATAAATTTAAAGGCTAAATAAGCACAACCAACCCATAAAAAAATAACAGTTTAAAAAATAGTTAATAAAAATTTCATAAATAGTTAAATCACCTAAAAATAATGAGAGAGAGAGAGAGAATTCTAAGACATAGGTCCCACCCCTTCCATCATTAACCTTTTTTAGCATATTTCTATAGGCATTTTCCATTACTAGTAAGTGTGTACGTGCTTTGCATGTTATAACTTTTGATGAGGATGATGGTAAATAATATATTTCTAAACATTTCTCTAATTTTTTATATTTCTATGATTATCAAAGTTACTCTTATTTTCCATACTTAGTTTTAATTAACATGATGAATATTCAATATTGGAGATGTGCCTAAATATTTTTCTACATTTTTTTGTATTTTTTATACATTTTTGTGTTTTAATATTTTTATTTTTATTATTATTTAATAAAAATGTTGAATAGTTAACTCGCTATCAAACAGAAAAATAACTACATTTTTGGATTGGTTTTAAATTTATATTTTATTCTTATCATCAATAAAATCAATTATTCTTTGTCACACTTAATTTTATTTAATACGGTTAATTAAGATAGGATTGAATGAAATAATGGAATTAATACCCTAAATATAAAACTTAATGAGAGGGAATTGAATGTGGTGAAAACATAATAGTTCAATTACATGTTGTGACCCCATAATTAGAAAGGGACCAAATTCATAAATAAGGGTATTTGAGTCAAGAATAGGAATAATGAATGAATGGAAATCTATCCATGATCTCGACTTTGAAACAAATCCTTGTCCTTGACCCCAATCCCACTAGGGATAAAAATGACCCTTCATCCTCAATTCCTAATGGAGATGGGTTCCTTGTTGGAGAACCTAAATCCCCAAATAAATTAAAAATATTTTTAAAAATAGGTTTACTTAAAATAAGGGAAAATTTTAAAATATAAAGTATTTTAAATATATTTTGATACAAATAATGTTATATTTTTTGATAAATGAATAATTTTATATTTATTTATTTATTTAATATGTATAGATATATATATAATCAGGGTCCGACAGGGCAAGGAATTCACTACTCCATCTTCATCCCCATCCTTGGTTGGGTATTTTACTATCAATCCCATCCCCACCAATGCAATCTCCATCCCTAAACCCATTAGTTGGAGAAGTTTAGTAATTGATGGAATGGGAAGCATTACCATCCCAATTTCATATTCAAATCCTATTAATTGACTAATTATAATTTGAAACCTAACAACTAAAATTAATAAAAATATTAAATTTTATCAAGTTTTTATCTAGAAAGTATTAAAAATTAAGAAATTAATAAAATTAGCAATTCATAAATTAAAAGTTAAAATACATTTAATTCTATTTAAAAATAACTAATATCAATAGGATAATTAAAATAATAATAGAAAGTAAACAAAATTATTAAAAATAAGAAAATAAATCACTTTCATTCCATATAACATTATAGAAATTAATTAAAATAATAAAACTAATAATGGCATAATTATAAATGTCATAAGACTCCTACTTAGGGATGATCATTTATAACTTTGCCCAAACTCAATTAAACCTATCAATTTTTTGGCTCAAGCAACTATTTTCTTCTAAGCTAGGTCTAGTTCAAATCTACACCAACCCCACACATAATGTAAACAATAGGGCTTTAAACAAATTGGATTCATATCAGAACCAATTAAATCTGCATCCACATTCAATTATGAAATATTTAGATCTACATTCACATTTGATTATTATGTTGGGTTTTGGATCATCTTTGGATTTAATCAGCAACCATTTTATTGTGTTTAACATGACCAAAAAATTAAGAAAGTTTAATAAAACCATTGTTTTTAAAGTATATATATGTATAATAAATGTATATACATATAAAATATTAAATTTATCAATTATAAACTTTATATAATTATACATAATATACATGTATACATAATTATATTACATCTATACATAAAATAATAACTTTTGTTAGACTCAAATTTTAGTTTGATAGCATGGGGTTAAATTCGCATCTAATCCAATTATTAATTGGGCACAAGTTCTAACTCCAAATCCATAATAATGAGATTTGGAGTCAAATTGGCTATTGGATTTCTAGAGTCCATTAATAGTCCTAACAATAGATATATATATATATATATATATGGCTATTGCAAAATTTGTATTAATTTGTAGATAGAATTTTTTATATAGTATCATAAAACAAGTTTTTATATATTTTTATTATAAACAAAATTAAATAAAAATTTTAATTTATAAAAAATCATAGTTTTATAATTAACACTGGAAAGCCTATCCCTATCCAAAGCCTAGACAAATATTAGGGTAAATTACAGATTAGCACCTCATACTTTGGGCCTACTCTCACTTTGGTACCTGAATTTCAAAACGTGCCAATCCAATACATGAACTCCCAAAATGTCCTAGTTTAGTTCCCTACTGTTAGTAGTCCATCAGTTATCTGTACCATGTGATGATATGTGCGATTCAAAACTTTTGAAAGTGTCAAAGTAACCCTTCGAAATAAGACATTGTTCATCATCTTCTTTCTTAATAATCAAGATTAAACCAAAGCAAGGTGAACAACCCCAAATCCACAACCAATTCAAAGAGATTTGGGAATTTGGATGGTTGATAAAGAAAATTAGATGACACTGGCATTTATGTATTTTTAAATACCAATTAATGATGGTTAATGATTTTGGATCAAATTGAAACGTTTTGGGAGTTCAGGTACTAGATTGGCATGTTTTGAAATTTGGATACCAATGCAGGGTAAACAACGCAAGTAACTCATCCCCCATATCTCCTTAAGGTTCAATATTAATAATTTTTATTTAAAAATAGTTAAAAACCCAAAAATAATGCATGCATGGGTTGTGCTCACGGTTTGGTTCAGTCCAATTTTAAATGTCATATTGCTCTTAGGGGTGTGTACTTTTGGGGGTTGGGTCAAGTTGAGGATCAACTAAAGCCCAACCCGAAGTCTTAAACCTTGAGCTTAGGCTTAGATTAAAGTAATTATGACTACAAACTAACTTTATATATTTATTAATATTTAAGTAACATTTACAAAAAAATATAACATTTAATCATTAATAAAGTAAAATAAATAAAATAGAACACTAAAGGATAATATGGAAAAATAATTATTCTATTAAGTAATTAGTAGTAATTTATTATTTTTGC